CATTGGTGGTATAATGTAAGGGCAAACAGCTTGGTCAATTCCTCTGAAAACAATGCCATTGAATAGCATGCTCTTGTGATGCCTTATCTGGGGGATTTTTTCCCCAATACTTTTAACAATACCTCTTAATGAAATTCATATGATTAGAGTTGTAATTTTCTGCAGTTTATATCAGTTTCTATGCATATGTCTACACAATTTGCATGGGCCATATTCATGTGCATGAAATATAGTTAATGGAACAATCGGTTTTGTTTGGATGAGGTACTTTTATCCCTGTAAACTAACAGGGTGCCCTATCTTTTTTACATAATAGGAACAGCAGTTAAAGGGGCTTTTATTTATTTTTAACAGCAAAATATATTATCAATATACAATATATAATGTTTTGGTTATTTTCTGTTGGTGTCAGTAAAGCACAGTTTTAATTTGAATAGCACTTCTGTATAAATGCGAACTTACTGGTTATAAGATTGATATAGAGAGTCGTGGTGGTGTAGTGGTTAAGAGAGAGGGATTGGGACTCAGGAGATCTGGTTCTTGTCCCCACTCAGTCATGAAGCTCCCTGGGTGAATTTGGGCCAGTCAGAGACTCCCATCTCAGCCTGCTGCACAGGGATGTTGTTGTGAGGATAAGACTGAGAGGAGTTGGAGAATTATGCAAGTCACTTTGAGTCCTGTGAAAGGAAAAAAGGGGGGCTATAAATAATAAATAAATGTATTTAAAGAAGTGATATTGTAAAAGTAGAATCAAGCTGTGGCATTCTATAATTGTATTGTTTTTATTTTGTGTTGTTTCAGAGGAACTCTAACTATAATGTTGCATATCTGTATTTTTTCTCCATTCCCTTACAAAGAAAACTAGTGTTTCTAAACAGCAGTGGGCAATAATAAAAGGCTTTCTACAGGCACTTGAGACTTCCTTTTGATTTTCACCCTTCTTAGTTCTTTTTTCCATACAAGTGTCTTCCCCTCCTGTTTCAGTCTCAGCAGATCTGTTGACATTCCCCAGCACAACTGGCCATTGAGGCTCCAGCACATGCATCTGTTTTAATTAACTCCTTCCTGAGAGAGAGATTGCTGAACAAGAGGCCTTGTGTGCTTTTGCATGTGAAGCGCTGTATTTCATATCCACAGAAGTTAAGGAGCAGGTCCATGTCTGGTCTAGACTCTGCATTCAGCTTGTTCAGAGGAAAACTTCCTTCTCAGTGCATCCCTGCCTAGTCCAGGTTCTCCCTTCCCTGGAGTGGCTTTCACTTGAGCAGCTTTCTCCCGGTCAGGAGTAAAAAAGGCGCAACTCACCCCCCCGCCCCGGCTTGGAAGAAGCCATTCTGCTGGCTGCTGGGTTGGGGAGCTTGGCATGTGCCTGCCTTCCAAGCAAGAGGGAAGAGGCAGGAGAGTGCCTTGCCCCTTATTCCCAAGCAGCACCTTCCAGCGGATTCTACCCTCCTCCCATGAGAGCCTTCCCCTCAGACACAAGGGGACCAATCAGCTGGGTGGCGCTGTCAGCCCCAACACTGGCTGCCCTTCCATCCAACCACACAGTGACCAGCGCCAGGCCATCCAAACACGTTCATATTCATTTTGAATAGTTCTGCTGGAATACTGTCTCCTCCACTAGCTTTGTTGTTGCTAAGACTTCCTAAAGCTCATTTGACTTCACATTCCAGGATGTCTGGCTTGAGGATAGCGACCACCTCAGTGTTGTGATCAGGGACGTTAAGATCTTTCTTGTGAAGTTCTTCTGTGTAATCTTGCCACCTCTTCTTAATCTCTTCTGCCTCTATTAGGTCTCTGCCATTTTCGTCCTTTATCATGCCCATCTTTGCATGAAACGTTCCCTTCATATCTCCAATTTTCTTGAAGATCACTAGTCTTCCCTATTCTATTGTTTTCTTCTATTTCTTTACACTGTTCACTTAAGAAGACCTTCTTATCTCTTCTAGCTATTCTCTGGAATTCTGCATTCAGTTGGGTGTATCTATTCCTTTCTCCCTTGCCTTTTGCTTCCTTTCTTTCCTCAGCTATTTGTAAAGCTTCCTCAGACAGCCAGTTTGCTTTCTTGCATTTCTTTTTCTTTGGGATGGTTTTAGCTGCTACTTCCAGTACAATGTTGCAAACTTCCATCCATAGTTCTTCAGGCACTCTGTCTATCAGATCTAATTCCTTAAATCTATTTATCACCTCTACTGTATATGCATAAGGAATATGATTTAGGCCACACCTGAGTGGCCTAGTGCTTTTCCCTACTTTCTTCAAATTAAGCCTAAATTTTGCAATGAGAAGCTCATGATCTGAGCCACAGTCAGCTCCTGGTCTAGTTTTTACTGACTGTATTGAGCTTCTCCATCTTTGGCTGCAGAGCACATAGTCAATCTGATTTCTGTGTTGACCGTCTGGTGATGTCTGTGTGTAGAGTCGTCTCTTGGGTTGTTGGAAAAGCACATTATGACCAGCGTGTTCTCTTGACAAAATTATTCCAGCCTTTGCCCTGCTTCATTTTGTACTCCAGGGCCAAGCTTGCCTGTTATTCTGGTTATCTTTTGGCTTCCTACTTTAGCATTCCAATCCCCCATGATGATAAGGACATCATTTTTTTGGTGTTAATTCTACAAGGTGTTGTAGGTCTTCATAGAACTGATCAATGTCAGCCTCTTCAGCACCAGTGCTTGGGGCATAGACTTGGACTATTGTGATGTTGAATGGTTTTCCTTGGATTCGAACTGAGATCATTATGTCAGTTTGGAGATTGTATCCCAGCACTGCTTTTCCTACTCTTTTATTGACTATGAAGGCTACTCCATTTCTCCTGAGGGATTCTTGTATACCTGATGGTCATCTGAATTAAATTCACCCATTCCTGTCCATTTTAGTTGATTGATTCTCAAGATGTTGATGTTCAGTCTTGTCATCTCATGTTTGACTGCGTCCAGCTTACCTTGATTCATGGATCTTACATTCCAGGTTCCTATGGAGTATTGTTCTTTATAGCATCAGACTTTCCTTTCACCACCAGATACATCTGCAACTGAGTGTCCTTTCGGCTTTGACCCAGTCACTTCATTCTTTCTGGCACTACTAGTACTAGCCCTCTGCTCTTCCCCAGTAGCACATTGAACACCTTCCGACCTGAGGGACTCATCTTCCGGTGTCATATCTCTTTGCCTTTTGGTACTGTCCATGAGTTGCATGGCAAGGATACTGGAGTGGGTTGCCATTTCCTTCTCCAGTGGATCACCTTTTGTTAGAGCTCTCTGCTATGACCTGACCAACTTGGGTGCCCCTGCATGGCATAGCTCATAGCTTCATTGCACTACACAAACCCCTTCACCATGGCAAGGCAGTGATCCATGAAGGGGTTAAATTTGATAAGGAAAATTTAATCATTTCCAAGTCTGGTTTATCAGATCTATAACATAACATAGCATAACATAACATAGTTGCTCAAAATGATCACCAGATCATCTATATTGCCTCTTGCTCATTTGAGGTTTTAAATGATCTGAATCTATGAATCATGGAACAAATTAGAATTACCTTGGAGAAGTATTTGCAGGAGAGTTTAATAAAACAATATTCCAAGACCATCAAAATGCAGTGCAATGCTACATAAATTTTGATGAGATTCTCTGGTTTTAAATTTCTAATGGTTGATGTAAGCATTAGCTGAACTTGAAACAAGGAAACATTGGCATATGTTCAATAATTTATTGTATATTTTTAAAATTACAATTTTATGTTATTTTCTGATTTGTTTTCAGTCAAGCAATTGTTTGAAAGTGATAGAAATAAATAATGAATGGTTTAAAAAATAAAAAAAATCAGTCTGTACACACTTTGAAGAAAATGTAGGCATAAGCAGAAGCCGACAGATGAGTAGATTTCTTCAGAATAAGTCAAGCCAAACCAACCTAATCTGATTCTTTGACTGGGTTACCACTCAAATGAACACAGGAAATTCAGTGGGTGTTATTTACCTAGACTTTAGCAAAGCCTTTGACAGTGCCCCACAACATCCTAATAAATAAATTAGATAAATTAGACTTTATCACTGAAGGAGAAGGAAGATATTGACTTCTATCAAACTTGGGACTCTTTATTATTGGCTAGAGAAATGGGACTTCGCATAGATTTAAATATGTTTTTAAGTTATCATAAATGGAAAAAGAAGGGTGTCGGGGCTGACCCAGCAGGCCCAATATTTTTGATGATTGATGTTTTTAGTTTTTCTTTGTTTTTTAGGATTATAATTTCAAATAAAACTTATTTAAAGCTTGAAAAAAATGTTTAGATAAATCATCAGTATGCTTTACTCCCAGCAATCATGGGTCTTGTGTTTTATAACCTGTGAAAAGACCATTAAACTTTAAAATCCCTCTAATTCAAGTCATAGTTGGACTTAATATAAAGTGGATTGCTTTTACATAAGAAGTTTTACAGTTCCTTCTCTATGGGAATCATGCTTCTGCAAAAAGAATTAAATGGACCAGCGTACAGCCATTAAATTTTATAGAAATTCAGCCAATGACTTGTTCTGGGATATGAGGCTCAAACAAGAGGTTATGAAATGCACCTACTTCCTTTGGATTGACTTTCCCCCACTGTTAGACTGAGTCAGGTTTACAGAAATAGCAAATATTAAACATGCTTAAAAATCCACATGGACTTTCATTTTTAGTATTTTCAAACATGTTCAGTCACCAAAACCCAGTTTTCCCAACAGGAAATTCTGGATTCATTTTTAGTGAGCATGTTCCAGGTTCTGCTCTGCTCCCCTCGGCTTATGTATCTGTTAGTGAACTGTGGTTTGTTTCATTTTTTTCATGAATTAGAGAGGTATTATGCAGTTGAAGCTCTGGCCTGGATTTCACTTCCTTTTGCAACATAACTTCCAAGGAGGTTCTTCAAAAGCAGCACAACTCAAAGTTGGATTAAGTATTTAGATAGATATTTGGCACAGAAATTACAGAAATCCATACATGAAGTCAAAGATGGGCACATTGCCATATAAGTAATACATTTTAATAACAGTTTGCAAATAAATCTATTGTCAGGATTTTTCTATGAAATAAATAAATAAATACATTTGTAATAAAAATAAATGTTTATGTATCCATAAATAGAATGCTTTGAATTTGTAAATTCTAGTAAATAAGTTTCCTAGCAGCAATGAGTGTATTCTTCAAGAGCATGGCAACTGTCATGGGTCCTACTCCTCCTGGAACAGGGGTGATAAAGCCAGCTTTCTTCTTCACTTCTGGAATTCACAAAAACAAGAAAATAAAAGGTGAGAGAATGTGTATGTAAACCCTCCTAGGATGCTAATCAATCAGTCAAACCTAAACCACAAACACATTGAGTTTTTAGATTCTTGAAAGAAAATGCTAACCAGATAAAGTATTGAACAAATTCAATTAGTTTCTAATCCTTGGGATTTCAGACTTTGTCCATTATTTTTATTGGGTTAACTTTTTCATACTCTCAGAACAATGTTAGTCAATATAGGGAAGGTTGGTCTGGTGGACAATATGGTTGAATTAAAAGACAGCTCACACATAGCTCAGGCAAACAGGTTATCCCTGTGAAAGGATATGAAAGTCTTGAGTTCCATACCTTCCCTCACTGCGTAGTCTGCTATAAAAATCCAGAGTTATGTGTACAGGCCTCCATCCATGCTACTGGACATAACTTAAGTTTACAGATTGTAATTTGCAGATTTTTCACTGATTTAGTAAAAAACTATGGTGATGATGGCCTAATTCCAAAGTTGTTATTATTACATTTCTTCCACTTGCAAGGTACTCAAGGCGGATTACAAGGTTTTCCTTATCCAAAGAACAATCCTATGAGGTAGGTTAGGCCAAGAGTCAGCAATTAGCCTAAGACATCCAGTGCGCTTCACGGCTGAGTGCGGATTAGAGCCCATCAGGCTGTACCCCGCTGGCTGAATTGCAGGGCTACTCAGTGATGATTAAGAGTGCAATACTGCATACCACTGTTATCCTTCCGCTTCCATCCAAATACAGTTTTTGATACTGAATGAGATGTTACAAAAATTCCAAGCCAGAGGCACAGGTATGTCTGGTTGCTCTGTGCCGGGCTAGGAAATGCTGCAGTGCCATCTTCCGTGGTTTAACATCTTCTTTGGTTGTCAGGACATGTCTTTAGTGCACTGCAAGCAGGGTGAAGGGCCAGTGCAGCACAGCTGTTAAGACTGCAGCTTACTCGACTGTAAAGCTACTTTTCTAAAATAATATAAAAGGAATAAAAGCACCATAAAGACTGACAAATTTTAAACTCTTTTGGGAGTGGACACAGCTGATAACACAATTAGCACTATCTGTAATTTCTGCACTTCATTGCTCTCTGTCTTCTGTGATTACATCCCACTAAGCTAACCATGTGCACACACCCTTCTAGCCAGCATAACACTCCATGCACCTGACAAAGTGAATTTCCATTCACAAAAGCTTATGCAAATGTTAGCCTTTTGAATTCAACTTTTGAATAATTTAATTTTGAAAATTATATTTACCACAGCAACAAAACAGTATTTTTTACTGTAACTATACAATATTATTTAAACCACTTTCATTGTTCCTTAAATTTAGAAAAAGACCTCTCTCCATGACTAGCTTTTATAATCCAAATTAATAAAGGGTATGAGCCATTACAAGATTCAGTGCAGTTCTGGAAGGGGAATGGGAGTGGAGCAACCTCAATTAATAAATTATTTTATATTAAGTAGCATGTATCTGTTGGGTCTAGTGGAGACAAAACTGTTATTATTGTATTATTTAAATAAGTTTATCACTACTATATTATTGGTATTGTTTTATATTAGCAAAGCTATGGGTTTTGTTTTTGTTAAAATATCATGCAATAAAAACTTTTAGAAAAACAATCCAAATTAATTTGTGTAGCCATGCAAAGTCCTATAACTTAATGTACCACAATTTAATTCTTGAAATTTGACTGGGCTCCAATACTTGGCATGATCATGCTTGTGCAAGCAAAAGAAGAGTGGCCTGTTGTAATGCACTCTGCGTGGGGCTGTTCTGAAGATGGTCTGGATACTTCAATTGGTTCAGACCAGGGCTGCCAGGATGTTAACAGGGACTGGCAGGTATGCACATATAATGTCGGTCCTCTACCATCTACACTGCCTACTGATTGAAGTCCAGGCCCAATTTAAGGTGCTGGTGATGACCTATAAAGTCCTAAACGGCTTGGGACATGGCTATCTGAAGGAGCATCTCCTTCCCTAAGTGTCTACCTGCCTCTTAAGATCTGGGTTGGAGGCCCTTTTTCAGGAGCCCTCACTGAAGGAGATTAGGAGGGTGGCTACCCGCAGAAGGGTCTTCTGTGCAGTGGCACCCATTATGGAATGCGCTCCCCAGAGAGGTCCGCCTGGCACTGACACTGACACTTTATTCTTTTTGGCGCCAGGCTAACACCTTTTTATTTTCCCACTATTTTAAGGCTTGACTATGATTTTAATTGTGGGGTTTTACTTGTGGGGTATAAGTAATTATTTGGATGCTGTGCTCTATTCTGCTTTTTGTAAGACCATCCTGAGACCTCTGTAGGAGAAGGGATATAAAAGTTTTAAATAGATAGATAGAAGTGCTTCCTTATCATTAGCTTATAATAAAATTTTAGTGCCTAAAGACTCCCTCTGCCCCTGAATTTTATTAACTGATAGAACTATTGGTTGTGAAATCCAGGTTCAAAGAATAGAAACACAGAAACAGAGCAAGTCAGAAGGGGTGTCCTGGGCCATCTAGTCTGACTCCTGGCTCCAGCCAGCTTCATTCATGACATGCCTACCATGAGCATGTCCACATGTGAATGTGTTGTCATTATGTGCAAACTCACAACACCTATATTATATTCAAAATAATTGAGTTACTTTCATTACAAAATATTCCTAATGCTGCTAAGTGGTTTAATATGAAAGATTGGCAGTACAGTGGTACCTTGGCTCACGAACTTAATCTGTTCCAGGACTCTAGTCATGACCCAAATTGGTCGTGAGCCAAGTTAAATTTCCCCATAAGGTTCAATGTAAATAAGGTTAATCTGTTCTGTAACTATTTTTTTAATCAGAAAAATGTGAAGCAAAGTGACAAAGAACAACAAAGATCGCAGCCATCTCCCCCCACCCCGAGCACAAATGTGGCCATCTCCCCACGCCCCCAGCACGACCGCGATGGCACCCGTCTCTCCCCCC